TGGGATGAACCACTGGTTTTAGGACTAGAAGCAACTTAGAATTAAAGGTGGCCTAGCTGTTGATTCTTAAGACCTTTCGTCGCTTGCAAAGCATATGGGAGCTATTGTCAGAACCATGAGACAGATAGGGATCACAGTTTTTAATTTATTTGCATGTTAAATAAAATATTTTTGTCCCACCCTTCAGTCAAGGCCCCTAGTGGCTTTTAGAAACCAAGACTGTAATATGCATGATATACTGTGAAAACATGCATACTACTCTGGGTCTGTTAGGCCAAACTGTATTGCTTTATTTTTCATGGAGCTGGAAGGTGGTCCAATTCAAGGATTCCCTTTAGCAGCAGTTCCTTTCTTTTATCCAGCTCAATTGCATGTGCCACAGGAAGTGGGGCAGAGATTATCGGTGGATTGCAGCTCCCATTAGTGGCAGCAGAAGCTCTGAGAAGCTTCTGTCTAACGAATGGGTACTTCCTGTTGTGTGTGTGTGTGAGTGTGTGCCCTCCTTGATCTTCTATTCTAATTGCATTACCTCAGGTGTAGTTCATAGCATGGGGCAGGGTATATTTGATTTAAATCCAAAACAATTTTTTAAAATTAAAATTATGTTTTAAATTGTGATTTAAATCAATTTGATTTTTTTAAAAAAAACCACACATTGATTTTTATCTACCCTGCTACAAGTCGTGCTGTAAAACAGAAATAGGATGAATACTATTGCTTTGGAATCTAGCACACTAAATCTAATGTACTAAATTTTGTTCTCGTTCCATATAGAGTTGATTCTTTGAAATGAATGAAAATTGTTATTCAACACTTTACATAAGTCCCATTGATTTCGATGGGTCTACTGTATTTGGGACTAAAATTGGATCAGTTCAAGGACTCTGCCAGCCTCTTGTTTTCCCAGAGGATTAAAATCTACATTCTTAGAATCATGGAACTGAAAGAGACCCCAGCAATCATAAGAGTCCAACCCCAGGATGAAGCCAGAAAACCACAGCTAAAGCATCCCTGACAGGTGGTAATCCAATCACTGTTTAAAAACTCCCAGTGAAGGAGTCCAGCAGCTTCTGAAGTATTCAATTTTTGAACCGCTCTTACTGTCAAAAAGTTCTTCCTAGTGTTTAGTTGAAATGTCCTTGTAAGTTGAATCCATTGCTTTGGGTCCTACTCTGTGGAGTTGCAGAAAACAGATTTCTTCCATCTTCAGATATTTAAAGATGCCGGTCATATCTCCTTTGTGCTTTCTCAAAGCTAAACATGTCCCACTCTTTCAACTGTTCTTTATAAGACTTGATTACCAGATCTTTTGCCTCTTTAATCATTTTCCTTTAGACATGTTCCAGCATGGTTGATATCCTCTTCTTCTCAACCTGTGATGCTCAAAACAGATCTCACCTCAAAACAATATTTGAGGTGAGATCTGACCAAAGCAGATTAGAATGGTACAACTATTTTCTTTGATCTGGACACTACCGTTGATGCAGCCTACTATTTTTCTGCATCCTATTGTTGATAACATGTTTAACTTGTGGTCTACTAAAACCTGTAGATCCTTTCCTCAAGCCATATGTTAACCTATATTTGTGTCTGATTTTTCCTCCCTTCAGTATCTCACCTTTAAGAATGTCTAACCCTTCTTGTACTTCCTATCCTTTATTATTATATCTGGCTGTGTGATCCCATTTCTTTTAAGTATGATTAAAATCACTTTTTAAAAAGTCCAGAGTATGTGCTTTACTATACCCAGCTTTCCTTTTCTTCAGTATTATAACAAATCTCAAGATGGTATGGTGACTTTTCCGTGAAGTTCCCACTGTTTCCATTTGTTGGCCAGTTACTTTCTGTTGGTAAAGACCAGATACAGGACAGCTTGTCCTCTTGTTGCTTCTTTCATCTTCTGAAAGATGAAGTTTTCAGCTAGGCAAGTGTAGAATTTGTTGGACTTTGCAACCTTGGTAGAACAGATGTCAGGGTGGTTGATGTCTCCCATTACTGCTGTGTCTTTCCACTTTGAATGTTTGGTAATCTGACCTAGGAAGGCATCATCTAAATCTTCAGGCTGGCTAGGACATCTGTAGCAGACCTCCCCACCCATGTGACTCTTGTTTCTCTCCCTCTGATATTTTCCATAGATCTTCAGGCTGGCTAGGACATCTATAGCAGACCTCCCCCCCCTCTTGTTTCTCTCCCTCTGATATTTTCCAAGGGCTCTCCAACACCACTCCTTGATCCAGCTCCAGCACATCCTTTACATACAATGCTACTCCTCCACCCTTCCTGTTTAGGATATTTTTTAAAAATAATTCCTGCCATTCGTGGATCTCATCCTATTAGGTTTCATTGATGCTATTATACATTTGTCTTCCTGTGTCAAGAGTTCAAACTCATCTTGTGTGTTTCCCATGTTCTGTACATTGGTATAGGGAGATTTGAAGCTGTAGGTCATTCCTTCCAACTGTTTCCTTTTTCTCTTTCCCCATCTATTAATGGATTCTTGTTCCACTGTCCAGGTTTCTGGTACATTCCTGCCCCCAGTATTTTTGTCTCCCTGTCCTCTGAATATGATTCAGTTTAAATCCTTTCGGTTCAGTTTGCAGGACTCCTAGCAAAGACACTCATCCCAACCCGTGTGTGGATGGGCCTGAAGCCGCTAAGATATCTTTTAGCAAGACAACAGACTTTTACTTGCTGCAGGTATAGGTTTCTGCATCCTCAGGCAGAAAAAAAAATAAACATGCTACAGATGTTACAGGTCACTGAAAAAACTCCTCTGACTTCCAAAGCTTCTGTTTTGTGCAGATGCTGGGAGAACATTCCTTGGCTCCCTTCAGATACTCATGCAGAATGCCCTGTCCCTGTTTATTCACCCTCCTCGTGAACTGTTGTTCACAGAGACTCTAAGGATAGCTATAGACTTGGCAGCTGCCAGCTCTGTCTTCTTTTGTAGATTAGATTTTTGATTAAAACAAGAAATGTATACTAAAAATCTGGTGTTTGCCCATGTACAGGTAGTTTGACATGTGTTGCATTTCTCCCCACAATTCAAACCTGGGTTTGCTCCACTTCTGCCAGATATTCTTTCCGGCACACTGAGTAAGCAGTCAGGAGGAAGTTTTGACCTTCTCTTTATTGTGAACGACCGAAAAAGCTGTTTGCTTTTTAAAAATACTAATTTAAACAGTCTGGGTGCAACCACCCACCCACCCATCCACAACACCTGTTCAATTTGCCCTCATTCTTTAAACCAGAAACCAGAAGAATCCATTTTTAATATTCTGGGAAGAACTGCTTTGGGGAGGAAGTGGCTTAGTGATGTCACCTAGCCAAGGGGACACCTGTACCATCTGGATTGCTCTCCATTCGGTCTAAATAAAACTTAGGGAGTGTGTTTCTGTGGCAGGCTCATGGCTCACATTATGTAAGCCAAAATATGTCCCTAAGTAGTGCTGGTAAATGGTGTATACATTAAAAAATACTTATTGTAGGCAATGGGCTTGGGTTTAAATGAGCATTGAAGACTTGGCTCTTTCTTCCTGGAGCATTAGGATCTCGGCCTCCCTTTTACCATCCTTTTTGTCATCCTCTCCATCACCCTTTTTACCACTTTTATTGCCATCTGTTTTAATTTACCCTATTTGGCTTGTATTAATTAATTTATTTTTATCGTGGGTTAATATTGTTGTTTATACTGTTGTTAGCCGCCCAGAATGGCCTGGTTGCCAGATCGTGCGGGATACAAATTCAGTGAATGAATGAATGAATAAATAAATAAATAAATAAATGAACAAACAAACAAATAAATATCTGTGATTGCTGATAAGGTTGGAATTTTTCAGGCCTGTGAGCAGATGGGTGTACATTTCTTCACTGCTGTGAGGTTTGTCATGGCAATTTGTGTTACTCAGTTGGGTGGAAATTGTTGCAATTTGCTTGGCTTTGCAGTGGTGATCGATCCGTGGATTATCTTTCTATCCTTGATCCTAGTTATGCAAATGAGTTCTGTGTAGCAAAGAAACAAAAATAATTCACCATTATTGAGGAAGGGGATGTGTGTGGGACTTCAACACTAGATAAATATTGTCAAATGGAGCATAATTTGCTCTTGGGGTTGAGGATGGGAGCTGATTTTGGATGCCATTAGATTGGCCTGGATTTGTTGCTTTGCCTTTGTGAAAATATGTTTAAGTATTGTACCTCTGACTTCTAAGTCCCAATCTAAACAGTAAAATTAGCACATCATTAAAGGCTGGAGCTCCCTGAAATGATAAGACATCTGATTCAGCCGAACCTGCCTTGCCCTACATTTTGCAGATTAGCTTGGTGGTGTTTTGAGAGTGGTCACTGGGAAGTAAACAAATGGATTTTATTTGTAAGTCTGATTGTGCTTTGAAGGAATTGCATGGTTGGGAGGGAGCATGATAGGAACACAGTAAGGACATATTTCTCTCAGCTAGTAGTTTGACCATGACTTAGCTTAGCTCTGCTTTGTGTATGTGAAGAGCTGTGTGCTTGTTGCTTGAAGCACAAACACGTGGAGGCAACTTTGTGCAGTACTGTAGACTGTTTACATGAAACTGTTGTCTAAAATGGTGGAGTCACTGAAAGTCCCATGGGAAAACTGGGAGATGTGGAGTACATTAGTAAAGTGGAACCACCCAGCCCTCCACAGGGAATCCTTTAAAGTGGCTTTATCTTTACCACAGTGTCAAGCATGTGGTGGTATCATTCTGCTCTCTCTCGCTCTCTCTCTCTCTCTCTCTCTGGTCTACTTACTGTACCTGCTTGCTTTGTTTCTCTTTCCAGTAATTTTGTGTGGCTAATTGTTAGCATTCATACCATCAAAAGGAATTTTAAATAACCTTTAGTTCCAGCATCCTATGTCACTGGAGACAGGGACACGTGTGTGTGTGTGTTCTATGATGCATGGAACTGGAATACAAGTCTTGGTTTTTTGAGGAGACCAAATGTAACCACTTTTATCTTTTCATTCCTTGCAGGTATGCCATGGCACTCTCTAACAATCACATCTGTCCGGTCCACAACTGGTAAGAGTTTTTCCATGTGTAGTAAGTAGCCTTTGCAGGTCACGGTGAATGGGTGTGTTACCTTTTCTGGTCTGTGAATATACTGTTTTCTGCAGTTCGTCTTCGCTCCATTGCCTGTATTCCCCTTTTAGCCAGTAAATGAGGCGACGGCCTGGATCTGGTCTTAAAACACAGAACAGGGATGTTTCTGCTGTGACACTAGTCCTGTGTCATCTTTTTCAACCCAACATTGACTGCCCAGGAGAGACATGTTGCAGCTGAGCCAGAAAAGCTCTGACTTTGAAAGTCGGAAACAGTTTGCAGTCATCTCTGCTGCAGCCTAATTCCTGTAACTCTATAGTGCATCATTAAAAAATGTGTTATTTTAGAATGACAGTTTGCCCATATTTTCGTCAGGGCTTGGAAAAATAATCTTTTGAATGAGAGCTCCTAGAATGCTGAGTTTCTGGGAACGGTCATCCAAAAAAGCAACGTTGCAAAGTTTCTTTTGTTGTTATTCTGGTCTTTTTGCTTGTGGAGAAAAATGGTAGAGTGTATGGACCGTTTACCTTAATTGAGGAGTGGACAAAATGTGCCTTGAACGCCATGTGTGCCCCCTGCCTATCCCCACCCAAGCCTCCCTCTTGCTGTTGAAAGTGCCAGAAATCTGTATATTCAGCTTCCTTCATTGGATCCTCCACAGCTAGTGGTTTTGCCCTTAACCTGCCATTCCCCCAAGTCGGCATCTGTAAGAAAGTCCTTCTCCGGCGGGGGGGGCGCTAGTGGTGAAGGCGGGAAAAAGACGAGGAGGCTCCTCAGGATTTTCATCAACAATATTTTTATTACAAAACAGTTTGCAACTCGCGTGAATCAAAAGGATCTTGCAACAGGTGATCCGGCAACAGATTATATTTCTTAGGGCGAACACTAAGTGGAACATCAGGGTCCCCTAATAGGGAGCCGGCCCAAACTTCTCTCGGTCTGTCATCTGCCTTATGGGCGCGCTCCTCACCGCGCACACCGTGCCGCAGCACGGGTGGCGGGCCCAATCGCCCTCCAAGGGCTTCTTCTGGAACTCCGGGCCAGGACGAATTACCCGACGCCCCCCACCAGGGTAATTCAGGGGGAAAACCGATACCTTCCATTCGAGAGGTTCAATGCCTCTGCCCTTGGCCCCTGTGGCTACTGGGTCTGGGAGCAGTCCACCTCCTGTCATCAGGTTGGGGAATCCTGGGGTTACATCAGTCCCTTGGCTTATTCCGAGAATGGGTTCCGTTTGCACCCCTCGGTGCCTAGGTCTGTCCGGGTTTAGATCCGTCCAGGTTCTAAAATCGCGCGCGCTTTTCTCCTCTTTTATCTCCTCCCATATAATTAAATCTAACTCCTCCCCTCCTTCTTCTACAAGACACACCTCCGCGGCTCTTTCAGTCAGTATCTCCGTTTGATCTAACTCTATTAACACCCCTTCCACACATCCTCCTTCCTCTACGTCTTCTTTCCCACCAGAGGACGGCACACTGCCTTCAGCTCCTTCACAGCATCTAATGACTTCCTCTTTCATAATGCTTCATCTACGTACATGTGTTTTGTTGCTATTGGTTTTTTTTTGGGGGGGGGATTGGTACATTTTTGAGGTTATGTGGCCTTTGGTGGGTCTCAGGGGCAATAAATTGGTTCTTGGATTGCAAAGGGAAGGGGGTTCTTAACTTAGTGAATAAATAATAAAGATTCAGGGGTTACTTCCAGACAAAGCCTTGTTGTGGAATAGGCATGGCTTGTTCATTTATACTTTATAGGACTTCCACAAGATGTTTCTATCCCATTGTAATCCTCCTGCATTTTTCCCAGTGCTGGTTTCCAGCTTTTTTTTTTTTTAACCAGGAAAAATCTCCAATTTTTTGAAACAGCAAAAACATTTCCACAGGTATTGATGTTCTGAGGACTGTTTTCCATCTCTAAGAAAAGTTTTCTAGCCACCTGAAAACCACACCCCTTTAAAAAAAGGTGTTTCTCATATAACTAGAGCATTTTCAGGCAGATTAACCAGTTATACTTAAGCACTCAGTCATAATAAATGTTGCAGTAGGCACAGTATTTTCATTCATTTTTGGTAATTATTTTAACTAGCACCTATAAACTTTTTGAAAAATATTAGAACTGAAGGGGAAAATATTTACATGGGGGACTTCTGTAAAGCTATTAATAAATTAATGTTCTCTTGTTTCAGACATGAATGTGGGTGTGCATTGATGGAAGGTTGCGTGTGGGGAGGGGGCCAGCACAGACATGATTAACACATAGTCACCTGTGAATTTGTGTGTCAGTCATCTGTGAGGAATGTTTTCCCCAAGGTTATTTTTTAACCAAAGCAGCAGGAGAAATCTGCAGTCTAAATCAGAAGTTCATGTGGAGGAGAAGGTGCAGCTATCGCTCTCCCTCTGGCTGTTTTTTTAGAGCGCTCACTACTTCTGGGCTGCTTTTTGCCCCACAGAAAACGATGCTGGTATATCTGTTCTCCAAGTAAAATTCTCTCCAGCCTAAAGGGTCTCTATGTGCAGAATCCAGCTGCAATAGGCAGTCACCTTTGTGGAGTTCCCTGGGCAGAATCCCATGTTCTGTGAACACGGATGGTTTTGTTTATCTGGGAGGTCCTTGACATGATACACAGTGACTTTGTAGCAGGGGAAACTACCTAGCCATGAGGAGAGCTGGAAAGCAGAGCAGGCAAATGTGTAATGGATACAGAGATCACACAGAAAGGAGGAGGTGCTGAGGGAGAAGAAGGACATGTGCCAATTGGCATCAAGTAGGAATGATTTCAATTGATACAGCCCCACCTTTCAGCCGATAACGCCTCACTCCTTTTTTCCCCTTTGGCAAATGGTCATATCTTCCATGTTCCGTCTGTCTTCCCACATCCTGTGTAACATATGCTGTATGCCAACAGGGGAACTGTGTGGGTGGCCTTTTCAGCTTTCTGTCATCATAAAGAGTGCAAGTTCTGTTTTATCGTCTTATCAGTAGAGAAATTGGCAAGGGAAATCTGCTTCATTAGGAATGTAATCTGACCAAAAGTTGCAAAATTATCACACAGATGATTAAGTTGTACCCACTTCAAAACACTGAACGGGAAGGCAGGCATCCTTCCCGAGTTTGCAACCAGTTTTGTGTCCAACCAAGCTGTAATGTCTTCTTTCAGCACTTTAAACTGTATTTTGAAAAATTAGAGATACTACAGGATTCTGCCTTCACATTGGCTGGCAAAAATCTGTTATGTATTTATTCCTGAGAGTAAAAGTGAGAGGGGATATGGAAAGGGGTAATTTCTCCTTACCTGAAGTCCATGGATTGACTGATTTCCTTCAGAAATCAGTCTACTTCTCTTTTAATAACTCACCTGTATTTGTTTGACTTGCAGCTTGTGACAACAGTGAATGATGTTGTAAGGCACCATCTTAGCGTTCGCTCCTCTCTCCCCAGCCCCAACTAAACAAAGTATGCATATTACTTTTGGGGAAAACTGGAAAGAAAATCAAAACAGTATAACGATAAATTTGTTCACACTTTTAATTAAAGCCTCCCTAAATTAAAGATTAGTGTGGTAATACGGATGAAGATCTTTTAGTGGTTGGTATCTTTTGCATAGCTCTGCCTGCATAATGGGAGATTATGTTAATTAAAGAGGCCTTTCTATATTTTGGCTGTGTGAAACTTGTGCACAGTGATACAAACTGAAAGAAATCTTTAATTATCGCCAATCTGGCAGGACTGGACATATTATTCCTATTGCACAGGTGGAAGGAGATGTGTAATGTGATACTAGCTAGTATTTTGGAGTATTGTATACATAAAATGTTTTGTGTAAGTACAGTGAGGTTAAATTCCTCTCTTTCTTAAGGGCTCATGTAATTTTTAGAATATTTTCTTCATAAATATTAAGAAAATTCTAGGATACTGAAAACAAAACAACAACAACAAAACACAACCCTCTTTGATTCAAGAAATTAAATGAAACATTTACTAATGGTCTTCCACAATAGAAAGCATGGATATTTTACATTGTCTTGCCTTAGTTTCCACCCCATCCAAGCAGTAAACATTTGTTATAATATCATATAATCCAGTTTTAATTGTGAAGTATTTTTGATCTCTGAATGTACAGATGCACAAAATGCACACAAAAAAGGAGAATGTAATGGTTGTACCCCCACAACTCTGCATTATACAGTAGTTGCGTTTGTACAAGGATTTTACCCCAACATTATGGGCTGGAAGTTTATGGCTTGAAGTGTTTTCTTTCTTTGCTGTTTGGCTGCTGTGGTTTTTGAGATGTCAAAAGCCTTAGTAGGAAATACTAGCAAAACAACTTCTGCTCCGGTTTATAACTCTATTTATATGCTAATTTTAGGTATAGGCTGTATTCCATATGATTTTTAATGATTCAATGGCATTTCAGAGAGATTATTGTGCATCCCAGAAAGATGCCATTAATCATTTAAAACATGTATTTATTAGAGTAATTAACAAAACAGAAATATTACAGTGATAGAGCATGGCATTTTGGCATCCAGTCGGGTCTGATATGCATTAAGGCATGCTGTAACGAAAATGGCAGCTGTAGAACGGATAGAATGCTGCAAATGGTGGTCTTTGCCATGGATGAATTATGCCATCTTCCAGATGAATGTCACGTGACCGGTGTTATCTTCTAGGCTGAGATCATGTGTTGTCAGATGTTGATTTGTCAGTTATAGGAACAGGCAGTATTCATTTGTTAGATCTAGGAACATTTGATCCAGAATGTTGGAAATGAGAGAGGACTTCTAGAGATACACAGTCAGCAGCTTAAAATCACAGTGTCTCACCCTTGATGATGACCCTTCGAATCACTCATGCACTGCAAATGCCAGTGTAGGGAATACGCAATCCCTTCTATTCTGTAACTGCCACCTTGACTATAGGATACTTTAATTAATGCCAGAGCAACAGAAGTGGAAGCCAACATTTCTTTCTCTCTCATTTTTTCTTGCATTGTCTCTCTCTTCTCAAATAAAGAGCTCTCTGCGATCTGGCTCTCCCTTGGCAGTAATAAGATTATTGTTGACCATCCTTTTGCATCTGTTACATTTGGACATCAGGTGCTGCTCTCTTTTAAAAGGCTTGTAGGTCAGATGTGACAGGCACTGGCTTTTTTCTAATCATGTAGAAAAGCCTTTAAATGTGAATTTATGAGACAGCAAGGATTTCTCTAGTAAAGGTTTAGATTGGCTTCCCTTGAGCTGAATTTCTGAGGGCGATCTGGCCCCAGTTTTCACAAAGCTCAGCACAAGTCTCCTTCCAGTTTTTTAAGGGTAGTCCAGGACAACATTATTCCAGATGAACTATAGGGCGTGCAAGGAGACGAGGTTGAGAATTGGCAGCATTTAATTCTTGGAAGCTGCTCTTAGGAACATTTCAGCCAAGAAAAGCAATTATTTCATTTGGCTTCTGCTCGTCCATCTGGGAAATATTGGATTCAAAGTGGGAATTGAGATAAAAATACATGCCTTTTTCTTTCTTAATGCCCAATTCTTTCTGAAGAAGAAAGAACTCACCAAGTTTCCTTGTAGCATAAACAGAAAAATGATAGGACTGAATTGGGCCAAGAACTCTGTGGGGAGGAGAGAGAGGGAAGGAAGTTGCCTGTGCTTGTTTTTTTTCCCTTTAAATAATTCCAGTGTGTAAACAAAATTGAGCTTAGGGAGGAATTGGAAAGATGTTAACTGTCTCGCATTTGTGGTTTTTTTTTTTTTTGAAAGATTGGAGGGAGAAGTTGGGTACTTGCCATTTTTAAACCTTGCATTTCTGAGCTGGTGCAAATCAATATATTTCCAGATTGCTATGGGCCCTTTTCTCTTCTTTTAGTTCTTCTGCTTTTAATTTACTATTAGCCAAGCATTTTAAAACCCCAGTTCATTAAAGGTCTTACTTACCTAAACACTCTCATTGCCTACTTCCAGTACTGGTTTGCGGTATTGCCAGTACTGCAAACTATTCTGCTGCAGTTGTTGAAGTGTACAAGTATGAGCACACATAAAGGGGTGAACATCCAGATTTTGTCAAAGACTCCTAAATTCTATGACTGCAATAGATCATAGTAGGAGCAAATATATTATGAACAATTTACCTGACATAGTTTTGGCTTACAGAAACATTGGACTGTTTGCCCGTCTTACCACCACAAGGATATCAGAAGGGACAGTGAGAAGGCCATAGATTTAAAGCTTTCAGGATGCCAGATCCAACTGATTTTGTAGTAAGCCCATGTGGCCAGTGTGATGTAGGGGGAGGATTTCTGTGACATATCAATTTTTTTTCTGCAACTTGTGTTTGAGTTTATGTTAATGAGTAATCTGGTGAGAAGGGGCAGATTATTCACAAACATGTTTGAACTTGCTTATGAGTTCAAATGTATATTGGAGAGAAAATGAGAAATGTCATAGAAATTCTCCCCCTAGTGATTACTGTCAAACTGAGGTTTTTGGAAATGTATCCTTAGGCCCTCACTGAGCGATGAATTGGTGACCTTTGGCTGGCCGTATTCTCTCAACCTCCCAAGAGAACTACATAAAGTTGCCTTTGGTCAGTGGAGGAAAGGCAAGCTATAAATGTAACTAATAAAGAAAGATACAAAAATGTGGATTTATGGAATAGATTGTTTTGGTTGTAACATTTCCATGTGAAAACCAGGAGCATCCAAACTAGGGCTGGAGACTAGGAAGGTGAGGTTCAGATCAGGTAGGTACTAGGAGAGAATGTGAACGCATTTCTAGAAACTTCCTACCTACTTGAGTTTGGTAGGCCTCCAGGAAGAGGGCACCAACAGGCTTCTTGCTTGCATTAGGCAAGGGGAGGCTCCAGGGTAGAGGTGCTTTGGTGGATAATACTCCACTCTGTCTGGGCAGGACATGTCCCCAAGATTACTGAGAGATACCACTGTCAGCCCATCAAGTGTGTGCTGTCATGGTGCCCCTTTCCATTCTTGTGTGATCTGGCCATGCCTGTCCTTTCCAGATGGCTACACTATCTCCACCAACATCCAAGTCCTGGAGGGGAGTTCAGAAATAGCCAGTTTTCAGGGGTAAGACTTTCCTTAAGAAAACCCTTCCTGAAAGGCCAGCAATTCAAGGTCCTGCCAGGATGAGTTGCTCAGGGATCCCAGTCCATGTTGCATTGTCCTCCTTCAGTGAACGAAGGGAACCATCTCCCAGAAAGTGAGGGGGTAATTGCTAGGCTTTGTGAAGGAGGAACAATCCATCTGCTCTGATTCTTGGCCTGGGATCCAGTAGTAACAATAAGAAAAACAGAGGAGAAGCCTCCCCCCCTTTCGCTCTGGGAAAACTTCACGTGAAAAGATTAAATGGGGGCACAAATAACCAACCCATCTAGCTTCTCTTCACTCAGTTACTCCAGGAGTTCCTTGTTCTCATGGGACAGTCGGAAGTGCATCTGCTAGGCCCAGTCTTCTGGAGCCAGTCTTCCAATCATAGATAGGTCAAGGGGCACCTGTCAAATTCCTGAGAGGAGAAGAGCTATCAGAGGAGGAACTGAAACACTTTTCCAGTGATCGGGAATGGCATTCTCCTCAGAAATATTGGTTCCCCCCCCCAAGCTTTCTAAGATACAGGAAGTGTTTCTCTATGTACCCACATTCTGAATAAGGATCGTGTCTGTCTGTCTGTATCTGGCCTGTATATCTCTGCTTTTGTCTCTCTTCAGGAGTTGTTTTTATTCTTCTACTGCTTTGCCTTTGTTTTAAAATGCACATGTGCTCATTGAATATGTTGCACTGTCTTGAGAACATTTAGACAAGGCATAGGTATGTACTGCCTTTGGAGTTCATGTGCTATTACAGTCTGTTACAAGTCATCTTTACATATGCCATAAAAGCAGCATGTAACTTTATGTTTAAAATCTGTAGACAACATGAAAGGCTTTTTATTTAACTAGGTTTTCTTATGTTCTGTGGAAGCTTCCATAGATTTTGGCTTGCAATTAATGTTACTGATCTGCTTCTATATTCACTTATTATAGCCACTGCAGATTTGCAATTAACCTTGGTTCACAGCCATTCGGCTGTTATTCATTGCTCTAGGAATGTGTTTGTTCATTTTCAAACTAAGAGTTGAGATCCACAGAAGAAGCCCATACTTTCACAAGAGTTGTGTGGTATTGTACAATGCTCTTAGTATATTATGTAGCCAGTTGGTGGGTCTTTATGGTCTGTTTACAGTTGAAGATCTAAGGGATTCTCTATTTATGTAGGTTACCATTCATGTCTCTTATGCTATCTATATTCCTCCTCCCTTGATCCTGAGAATGCCAAATGTAGCCTCAAGTCTCCATAAACTCTCCATAAATTCTTTTACCTCCACATGTTGTCAGCTTTCTGAATTGACCCTTGCTTACTAATCTGTTAGTTCTCCTCTGAGGAACAGCTTTTAAAATGTTTTGCTTTGTTTAGAGGTCAGAGGCTTCATGTAACACAATCCTTTTTCCTTCACTACAGGATTTATAATCTGTCCTGTGAGCTAGATGGCCCTCTTTCCTGCTGCACACTTGATCACATTCCTCTTGTCAGGTGAGGAAATATCAGGTTTTTTTGCATCCTAGGGGAAGAGGGTAGATGGTGGGTGGAATTTAGAAGGATCCTGGAGGCCTTCATTGCTGCCTGGCTCCCCTCATGTATCTGTTGGCATTTCTATAGTACTATGTTTTCCTTGTTGATACTGACTTCTTCTAATGATGTAAGCTGCCTTAGGTCTTCTTTGAGGAGAATGGTGAGGTAAAAAATATAACAAAGAAACAAACAAATACCATATGTTAAAGGTAAATACTAAACCAACCAACCAACCAACCAATGAACCAAACAACCAAACAACAATATTTCCATGTGTTAAGAATAGAGACAGCACTGATCTCAGGAAACAAAAATCAAAATACCAAGGGGTATCCAGGAATCAACCCTGAGTGCTCATTGGAAGGACAGATCCTGAAGCTGAGGCTCCAATACTTTGGCCATCTCATGAGAAGAGAAGACTCCTTGGAAAAGACCCTGATGTTGGGAAAGTGTGAAGGCAAGAGAAGAAGGGGATGACAGAGGACGAGATGGCTGGACAGTGTCTGCGAAGCTACCAACATGAATTTGACCCAACTCTGGGAGGCAGTGGAAGAGAAGAGGGCCTGGCGTGCTGTGGTCCATGGGGTTATGAAGAGTTGGACACAACTTTAACGACTAACCAACAACAAATTGACAGATATAAACTTATGTGAAGCATACGTGGGCATAATTCAGAATGCTGCTTATGGCGTACAGAGTCCTATACAACCTGAGTCCAGGCTATCTGAAGGGCCATGTTTCCCCATATGAATCTGCAGCTTTAAAGATCTCCAGGATAGGCTCTTTTGCTCCTACTGTAGGCATGGTAGGCCCATTTGCTGAGGATATGAAAAAGACCATTCTTGGTAAGTGCTCCAAGGTGGTTGAACTCCCTTCCAGGGGAGGTTAGGTGGTTCTGTGCCTCCCTGTTCTTCAACTAACAAGCAAAGAGTGGTGCCCCCCCTGTAAGTTTTTGCAACACAATGGTTGCTGAACAAGCAGTTCTTAATGACTGTTGCATTTCCCCCCTTTTCCCTCTGAAGTGTTTTACAATTGTTTTTGATGTTGTTTTAATGTTGTTGTAATACAGTGATCTGTTTAATTGTTTTTTAATATTATAACTTGCTGTGTTTTTCATTTTCTCTTTTTTAAAAATGATGTTAATTGTGTTACTGTTTAATAATGTTTTGAGCTTCCTTGGGTTCCAGTGGTTGGAGAAAAGGATGTAATACAGTAAATAATGTTAATCAAAGAAGAAAAAGCGTTTAGGATAAAAAGAACAGTATCAGTGGGATGTTATGAGTGAGTGAAAATGTGTGCAAGGTTTTCATTTTGCTAGACTGTCAGGCAAAGCCAGTATCCAGACCATAGAAAGAGAGCACAGACTCCTGGTTGGTTCAGTATAGAGGTTTGCCTAAGCTGTTTTTTGCAGACAAAAGCCTGATCCTGACTGTTTTCTATTGCCTGGAAATGGGAAGTTAATAGCAAAAGAATGTCTTAACAAAACCCCTTTAAAGGTTGGAGCACCACTGTGTTTATCCCTTTAAATCACTGCAGCCCCTTAAACCTGTGTCTTCCTAGCTCCCAAACCCCCAAATGTGGGTGGATTGTAGCTCCTGTGATCATTGGCTTTTTGTTTTGAGGCTTATGGGAATTGTAATCCAGCAGCATTTGGAAAACTCCAAGCTTCCAGTCTCTCCCTTACATTAAAGCCCTTTCTCTCTTCATACCCTTCATCATCACTGCCAATTTGCCACACGTCTTTTTGGTAACTGGAATGGAGGGTGGCTCTGCAGCTACCCAAACTGCCACAAGTTAACGTCCAATTGCTTTCTTGAGTTGTGTGACTGTGAGAACAGCTGCTCGAGGTACAAGCAAGCTCCTCTCAGGTCTTTGACTGGCTTCTAACTCTTTCCTCCTTAGGAAATGGTAGAGGTTCTTATCCCAATAGGAGATTGGTTCAGAGTACATACGTATATTAGAATAGAATGCATCAGCAGAGTTTATTCTGGAAATTCAAAGAAGATAAAAAAAAGAAAAAAAGAAAGAAAGAAAAAGAAAAAAGAAGAAGAGAAAAAAGCCCCAAACCAATTCCAGGGGCTCTCAACAGAGGGAGAGGGAAGACAATGCTGCACATTCTTCAAAACCAGCTGCTCTTTGTCTCCTGTTCTGTCAGAGCTATTTCCCTTATGGTCTTTACCTGAAAGATTTGTGTTCCCTCTCCCTACAATTTTCTTTTAACTGCCACCACCACCACCACTATGAACAGCCCTCTGTAGCTTTTGGAATTGTAGCCCTGTTAGTCTTTGCAGTCATTTCAGCAAGAAACACAAAACAAAGCAAAAAGCAGAATAAGACATTGTGGCACTTTAAAGACTAGCTCTTATACTGTATTTTAATGTAATCTTTTGTGGAACATTGTCTACTTTTTAAAACATATGAGTTAGAACATTTTGTCACGTAGTCCAGTTAGTCTCTTAGGGTGCCCCAACATCTTTTTTTCCCTTTGCTTTTGCCTTATTAGCTTGTCTGGTTGTTGACAAGGTCTGTGGTATTTTCTAATATCTGTACGACAATTAAAAAAAATTGTAGACTCTTTCTAAATAATAAATAGCAATGCTTCTAGAGAGGAGTGTTACATCTCTCACTATACCACTTTTTGAAAAGGTGAGGTCTCTCTCTGTTATGCCTTTAGCATATACTTGTCAAGATGGAGAGACTAAAACTTAGTGTAAACATTTTTTTTAATTGGCGGGAAGTCCCACAACTCTTCACTCCCTCAAAAGGTTAATGCAAAAAATATTTATTTACATTCCAAGTTGTGAACACCCACTAGCAGGCTGATCTGGGCAATTGTTTAATTCCTTCTTTCTATAGTTGATGCCAGCAGAACAGAAATGACATAATGCACAGCAGATAATTGCCACTAATAACTGGGATGGCATATTTCACACATAGAGCAAGACAACCCCACACATCACTTTTAACGATCTGAAGAATCCATAATTGCCACTAGATAATGACTTCCTGTTTGTATTCTTGTTCATGTGCCAAGCTTGCCATGCAGTGAGGAAGCCGTGGGGACATGTTAATTAGTGGTAATTAGCAGCTGCAAGTGACACAGTTTCCTTTCTGCCTCCATAACTATGGAACAGGATTTAGCCTATTGCCTGATTTCTTCCATAACTTGATTAACTGAAGAAAGGTGCCTAGTGTTGGGAAGTTTTACTTATCTATTCGACCTTGCGGAGAGTTCCTGGGAGTCATGGGAAGGGATAGGGTGTCCTACCATCTCCTGAGCAATTGATGCAGGCAGGCTAAATTGTATTTGAATACCCCTAAAGACCTTCAGCAATTCAGACCTTTAATGAACTACCATATGTTGCAAGCACATACAGTAGCTTTTTCCAGTAAGAGAGGATTAACAACATCATTAAAAAAAAAAACACAACTACTGGGACTGCTGGTTTCTCCTATAGTAATGAATGATGTATGACTCATTGCCCCTAAACCGTTGCCCTTTGAGATCATTTTGGGGAACTGTTGTTCATTTCTGGATTTCCAAGGGTATTTTCCAAAAAATAATCGAAAGCTAACACATTTAGTAATTTTGTTATCATGTTGATCTTCCAGTTAGAATAAACAGTAGTGGAAATAGGCCACTGTGTACAAATAATGAAATGCGCTTTAAAAAAACAATTTGAAGGTCTTCCTTTCCCCTTCTCTCTCTCATTTCTATCTTTTGCGTTTTTGAAATGTACTGATTCACCAGTCACTGAAGGTTAGAGGAATCTAATTCATATGTATGTGTTTTTTTGTGGATTTTGAGTTATTTGTGCTAAGAACTAACCATCTCTGATTCAGAGGAAATCTAATAATCAGCCAAGCCAGACATTTCTTGCAGAAACTATTACATTTAGGACCTAAGCTTTTAAAGATAGGCAAATTCTCTACTTGCATATATCTGTTATAACCTGAGCGTCTTTTGAAACTTGTTAATAGTTTTTATTACAGATTTTGTGGAAATTCAGAATAGCTTAAAATAACAAAGTTTATTACATGAAGACCCATAGCTATTCTCAAGGTAGCTTGTGAGGGGAATGGGATGACATGGTGAGGGCTCATCAGGGCGAATTTGATTTAAATCAAACTGATTTTTTTAAAAATCATTAAATTTTATCCACCCTAGGTCCCACCAAAAAGGATTTTTATACTAACCACCTTGGCTTGTACTGTAGCATGTATAGCCATTTTTTTTAAATCACAGAGCTTAATTGTTCTTTGACATTCTCCTGAGATAATTTACTCCTCCAATTGAGTATAAACGTTTCTTAATCTTGTACAAAGGCTTGAAAGACTGTTAAATTTCCTATGTAGAATGATCAGTGGTTGTATTGGATCTAGGGCTTGCAGGGTTGAAGATCCAAGACTTTCTCAGTAGTAGGGTCTGTGACATCATCCCCGGATTGGCTTCCCTGTTCCTTGTGAGCAATCCCCTCAGTGGTTGAAAGAGAAATGGAATCAGAAGAACAGTGTATTGTTGCAAGCTTTCTCTGCTGTAATGCAAAACACTGTTAAGTTTGCTCAGTCCTGAATAGGCAATTTAGAGCCATTACAGTCACTAAAGACCTTCTCTTCAGCTATTCATAGGTTCCAATGCAGCTGCCTGATGTTTGGACTCCCTTTATAAAGGAAAATGTTTATAGTGATAGTGAGTACCTGCACTTTCAGATTTATCACTATACCACTGCAAATGATAATAATGCAGTGGGCTGAATCTAACATCAGTCCTACCTAGGGTAGATTTACTGAAATAAAGGGGACTTGCTAATCATAACTTAGGCCCATTTGTTTCAGTGGATTCAACTAATAATTTTATATACAAAAATCAAGTCCTCTAAAGTCATTCTTTTATAAGTGACAGGATTGAGAATTTTTTGTTTTTAGCTTGGAATATTTTATCTATAATTACCAAGTTAATTACTGAGATCTAAGTCCTGTTGTTTGTTCCAACTAAAGCAGATCTACTGAGTGGCTGGTATTTTGCTAAATGAACTTATATGTAAATCCTATTGATTCAGTAGGATCTGTAAATGAGACTAACAACTTGATTTAGCCCTAAGTTTGCATTTTAAATGTGTCTGCATTTTCTCTGTCATAAAATTCTTACAGAAAATAAAACAAGGTTTCTTCAGTATTTCTTGAGTGGCACTTTCTACAGAGGCCTCCCATCTCCAAACTCAGTTCTATAACATGAGATAAAATGAGAGCTCAGAGTACAATGCTATCCTTCTCTACTTTTTAAATCTATACATATCTATGTGGTATAAAATGAATTATTTTAAACAGCTTTATAGCTTCATTGATTGATTGATCTGTGGTAACAAGGATAATCAGAGGAATGGGAGCTGAAAAGGGGTAACAGAATCTTCAGATGTATCTCTGTGGTACAAGAGAACAGGATCTTGAGAGTTTCCCTGACCCCACATAGGCCCATTAAGAAGGGACACCTGATTGCCAGGTTTTATTTCTGCTTTGTGGATAGATAACACTTCCATAAATGTGAAGTAAATGGCATATTCATGAGGACTTTTGTATACCCTGCTCCAGTAATACATCATGTTGGAGCAGATGCCTATCATTAGATTTTTAGGTATCCTTCAGTCTTGAGAGACTATGGTAACGTGCAATGTATGAAGGACTTGGAATAGCATCTAGTGTAGCTGTGAAGGCCAATTCAAGAGTGATAATTCCTTCCACATTGAAGGCAAATACAATCTGTCCCCTGTTCACCTCCCTGATTTTGCTGGTTTCGGGACTGCCTCTTTACTTCGGCCTGCTGGACAAGTGTCTCTTCAAAATGGGAGAGGCCATGATGCACCGCCTGCCTCCAGGCTGAACGCTCAGATGTCAAGGGTTTTCCATCTGTTGAGGTCCATTCCTAAGGCCTTCAGATCCCGCTTGCAGATATCCTTGTACTGCAGCTGTGGTCTCCCTCTGGGGTGATTTCCCTGCACTAATTCTCCATGCAGGAGATCTTTTGGAATCCGACCATCAGCCATTCTCATGACATGTCCAAGCCAACATAGACGTCGCTGCTTCAGAAATGTATACATGTTAAAAATTCCAGCTCATTCTAGGACTACTCTATTTGGAACTTTGTCCTGCCAAGCGATACTAAAAATGCATTGGAGACAACGCATGTGGAACGTGTTCAGCTTCCTCCTGCCGTGCACAAAAGGTCCAGGACTCACTGCAATACAGGAGTGTACTCAGGACACAGGCTATATAGACCTGGATCTTGGTATATGCCATAAGCTTCTTATTCAGCCATAATCTCTTTGTGAGTCTAGTGAACATGGTACAGTAGCTGCTTTGCCAATGCATTTATCCAGTTCGACATCTATGGAGAGGGTGTCGGATATCATTGAGCCAAGGTACACAAAGTCATGAACAACCTCCAATTCTTAGAGGAGATGGTAATAGAGGGAGGCAGATTGTTAATCCAAAGTCTTGGCAGGCCTTTCGAAAACGATCCATGAGTTTTTGGAGGTCTTCAGCAGAGTGGTCAACAATGGCTGCATCATCGGCAAAGAGGAAGTCCCCCATGCATTTCAGCTGGACTTTGGTCTTTGCTCTAAATCTAGAGAGATTAAAGAGCTTTCCATCTGATCTAGTCCAGAGATAGACACTTTCTGTTGCCAGTTCCAAAGGTGTGCTTCAGCATGACAGCAAAAAAGATCCCAAACAGGGTCGGCGCGAGGACACAGCCCTGTTTCACTCCGCTTCAGATGTCAAAGGGATCTGATGTTGAGCCATCAAAAACGTTTGTGCCCTTAATTTCCTCATGAAAGGAGCTGATGTGTGAAGGAGTTAAGGTGGCCATCCAATCTTGGGAAGGATTTTAGAAAGGCCGTCCCTGCTAACCAAATCAAAGGGCTTTGTGAGATCTATGAAGGCCACAAGGAGTGGCTGTGGTTGTTCCATACATTTCTCCTGCAGCTGTTGGAGGGAGAATACCATGTCAGTGGTGGATCTATTAGCTCAAAATCCACACTGTGATTCTGAACAGACTCTGTCTGCAGGCACCTGGAGTCTCTTCAGCACAATATGGGCAAGCAGCTTCCCTACAAAGCTGAGAAGACAGAGGCCACGGTAGTTATTTCAGTTGCCACTGTCTCCTTTGTTCTTATGCAATGTGACAGTGTTTGCATCTTTCATGTCCTGTGGTACTCCACCTTCCCTCCAGCAAAGACAAAAGATTTCATACAGCTCGGTGGTGATGATCTCCTTACAACAGCAGGGATGTTATCCTTTCCAGGTGCCTTGCCAGAGGCGAGGGAATCCAAGGCTGCCTTTATTTCTGCTCAAGTTGGTTCGCTGTCCAACTCTTCCAAGATAGGCAGGCACTCGATGTTGTTTAGTGCCTCTTCGGTTACTATATTCTCTCTGGAAGTAGAGTAGCTCAGAGTAGTGCTGCACCCAGCGTTCCATCTGCTGTGCTCAGTCCTGGATGATCACGCCTCTAGCAGACTTCAAGGGACCAGATATCTTCTGTATTGGACCTAAAGCCTGCTTGATACCACCATACATTCACTTGATGTTACCTGTGTCCGCTGCTATCTGTATCTGAGAGCAGAGCTGAAGTCAATAATGGTTGGAACATCTCCTGGCAGCCTGTTGGCCTTGGCTATGAGCAAGTCGAAGAGCCTGCAAGTTTTACTCACTAGGACAAGCTTTGTATGCTGCTAGAGCTCTCTTATCCTTGATGGCTGGCATCAACTCCTCCGAATGGGCTTCGAACCAGTCTGCCGTCTTTTTGGTCTTCTTGCCAAATGTGGACAGGATGGTTTGTTTGCAGTTTTGCTCTACTACACACAGGGAGTGATCAGTATCACAATCAGCACTCTGGTAACTGCGTGTGATCATAATACTAGGAAGGCTAGAACGTCTAGTGAGGATCAAATCTAGCTGATGCCAATGCTTCGATGCTGGATGTCTCCAGGAAACTCTGTGTTAAAGCTTTGTATTAAAAACGTGTTGCTGACACAGAGACCATAATAATAGCAAAACCCCAGCAAGCACTGGGCATTTCATACTATACCTGAATAACCTCCACCACTCACCTGTGGAGACTGTCCATTGTAGGAGATGTGTTACCAACTACTTACTAAGTGCTCTGAAACCCATTTTGGGAGGAAATACTCTCAGATGACCATTGTTCTGACATTTCATCTTTATCCTTCTCTACAGCAAATGTGGTACCTTACCACCAGAGAGCTGCTTCTTCAGTCTGATCTGCAGCCTGGGTTCATTCATGGGTAAGTCACTGCTTCTGAGAAAAAGGTTGGGTTTCTTTTTGTTTTGTTCATTAAAATGAGAAGTCTCAGAGGACTAACAAGGGTGGTGGTGGTGGAGGTGGTCAGTGTGTTTGGGTAAAAAAATAAGACAGGAGCTTTTGAAGGAAGAACACCTGGTATTATTCTGTTCTCTGAAGGATGGAGCTCTTGGTGGCTGTTTGCATTTTTTAAAATTTTAATATTGAAGAGCTGGGTATTTCTTTCAGGTTTTGAAACAGGAAGTTGGAAGTGTGAAAACGGCTGCTATTGCTTTTGTGCAGTTTTACCAACCGCAGCCCTGGTAGTTATCTCCTCCAAGGCCTTTGTGGTTTCTCACTTGGCATGAGAACCAGCACCCATACAGGGATCTCTCCTTGTTTCTTGGAGGGGACGGGGGGTGGGGGGAAAGACAGGTAGTGTTTACAAGGCAGGTGAAGACCAGGGTCTGAGGTTGACTGTTGTTTCTTCTTCCTAGTGATGCTGGTTGGCCTGCTGAGATATGCTCATGTCATTGAGCACTATGGCTCTTCCCTTCTCAACACTTTGGGGCTGGGTGCAGGCTGGATCTGTGCAGCTGGCCTCATTATGGTTGGCAACTTCCAGGTAAAAAAACATTCTTCCATGCACTTAAAGTGGCAATTCCAATCAAATTGAAAGAAAGAAGCCATCTTATTTCCTTAGAGTGTTCTGGAGATTAAAACTTATCAGGTGTTATTTGGTATGGGCTTTCGTGAACTTTTACTTCCCTGGAGGAAAAGATCCCTACGAGTCTCTTCTTTTCAGTTCCATGTAACAACAGGGCTTGATTATTCAGGTGATTTATGCTCACATGTTGTTTTTATTGTTACATGTCATCAACTTGCTTCTGGTGGCCCCAATATGGTTTCTGAGGTATGTGAGATGTTCAAGGAATGGCTTGCCATTGTCACCACCTGCTGAGTTTCCATAGCCAAAGTAGGATTTCAACCCAATCTCCTAAGTACTCGCCTGATACTCTATCCACTAGACCACACTGTATCTCATACAGTGGGGTCTTGACTTGAGAACTTAATCCGTATTGGAAGGCGGTTCTCAAGTCAAAAAGTTCTCAGGTCAAATCTGCATTTCCCATAGGAATGCATTGGAAACCATTTGATCCGTATCTGCTCTTTTCCGTCCATAGAAACTAATGGGAAGCTCCTATTCCACCTTCGACCACTAGAGGGGGATATTTTGTTTCTTTTTTTCTTAGGTCAAGAAAGGTTCAGGGAAGGCAGGGAAAATACAGTCCAGGCAGTACCAGGCAGTCCGAAGACTGTCTCCCAATCCACTCTCTAAACGCTGGGAGGAGTGAGGAAGCAGACAGGCACCCTTTTCACTGGCCAACAGTTAACTGAAAGTTCAAATTTTGCACTTTCCCTGCCTCCCACGTGGTTTTTTTCAGTTCTTAACTCAAATCTAAGTATGTAAGTCAAGTCAATATTTTCCTATGAGAGTGGTTCTTAAGTCAAAATGTTCTTAATTCAAGCCGTTCTTAAGTCAAGACCCCACTGTATTTAAACGGGGAGCATCTTATTTATTCACTTTATTAGTTATGTGTATATGCCTGTTTCCCCCCAATCTCTCAAAGACTTTCTTCTCCACATTATCCTCCAAATAGTCCTGTACGGCTGAGGGAGGCTGATTGGCCCATGATCAGTGAAAGAACATAAGGAATTGGTCAGTGGGGACTAGAATCTGGATCCCCTAAATCCCAGTCCAATATTCCAACTGCTTATTACATGACAGTACATAGTACACGAGAGAGAGCGAGAGCGCTAGTGTGTGGTGTAATGGGTAGGGTGTCAGGTTATGACTCAGAAGATCTGAGTTCAAATCCCCATGTGTCCATAGAAGCTTACTTGGAGATGGCTATGTTAAACCACTCCTTGAATGTCTCACATACTTCAAAATCCCTATTAGGTTCACCATAAGTCATAAATTATTTGATTGCTCTGTGAGTGTATGGGGGGGCAGGTGCTGTGCTTTATTGACAGAAAGTGGGCAGGAATGGAAGGTTTGAGTGCTGAGGACTATGGAGTAGGGAGCCAAGGCAGAGCAGGGATACTGGGTCGGGGCTCAGATGGTGGCAGGGTTGCTCTGTCTTTAACTTTTGTGCAGAAGAGAGATTTCCTCATTGCAGCACTGTGACCTGGCCCTCCTAAGGGTGCAGCAGGTGTCATGGAGTCTTGAGGAAAGCTGAGGTTCATCTTTATTTGAACTAACCCATCAATTATTTGGCTTCAGGCATCATTTAAATTTATTTAGAGGCATGGCTGTGTTTGCTACTGTATTTTAAGCTCCTTTTCTATTAATTCCTAACACTGCTTTTGTTATTCACTGAGCCTTCCTGCCAAGCTCTTCTTCATAGCTGACCACAGCCGGATCCTAGCCCATCAGGCTGGGGCCACACAATCTAAATAAAATTACTGTGAGTCAAAGCAAATAAGAAGGAGCTCCATGTTTAGATCTCCCAGCATCTTCTTTCTGAAAAAGCTACTCCCTCAACTCTCTCTCTCTCATTCTCTCTCTGTTAGAGAGACACCCAGAGTTTTGAAAAAGTTACTTTTTTGGACTACTGCACCCAGATCTCTCCAGCCAGGATGGGCGTAGCCATGTTGTTTAGGTGATTTGGGGAGCCATCGTCTAAAAATAACAAGATTTCCAAATACTGGATATACCCTTTGGCCCTGCGCTGTTGCTCTCTGAAGTGGAGAAGGGTACGTGTGGGCTTTCAGGATGTATGCCTCGACATTTTCTGCTCTACATCTAAGGGCAGATTTATAGGTGGGTTCAGATCTTTTCCAGGAAGAAAAAGATGTCGAGTCTAGGAGCTCCCGCTCCATGTCTAGTTTGATCTTGTGACTGATACCACTGATGATCTGCCTCTGCCCAGGTCTTTTAAATGCTTGGTTACTTTGTGTTATTGATAGGTCTCTATCAGGGGCTTGTAAATTGGTAGGGTGGGAACTTGAAGCACATATTCACACCTGGAAAGATTTTATTCAGAACAAGAACCTGTGTGGTTGCTGTGCCAGTCAAAGCCTATGTATGTATTTCGTTGATGTTGCCCTCTCTGTGTTGTGTTTGGGAACTCACTGGGAAACTGATTCAAAGGTCAGTAATGTCAAAATCCTTTTTGGCTCATTTGTTTAACTGACTGTGAAGCTTAAATATTACCTTCCATATTTCAAGTTCCCTAAAGATGCTTCAATAAAAATACTAAAAAACCAAATTTTTTTTTATCATAATAATACAAATGAAAAATCTTAGGAAATAAAACTGAGCAGTTAAGAGTTTAACATTGTCAAGAGTTGGTACAGTGGACCCTTGACTTACAGACGGCTTGACTTACAGACTCTTTGAGTTACAGACTTCTCTGGCTGCAAAATTTAGGTTTGATTTGCAGACTGAGATTTGACTTACAGACCAGAAAAAACCCAAAATGGAACAAAAACGGCCTGTTACGGGATTAATCGGTTTTCAATGCACTGTAGGTCAATGGAGACTTGACTTACAGACTTTTTGACTTGAGAACCGCCTTCCAATACGGATTAAGTTCTCAAGTCAAGACCCCACTGTATACTGAAAACCACCCCCCGCCCCCGGTAAGAACCAGGAGCACAACACCTTAAATTAAGTTTTGTGATACTGTGGTTCATTTATTGATAAAAGGAAGAGCGTTCTCAGTTAAGCAGTACCTGTACTACTTCAGTAAAAAGTTACACATAAGGCAAGCTTTTGAACTCTTTATCAGGCAGAGATGGTATTAAACTTCGGGTTTAAGGGGAAAGCAAAATTTTGATACTTTTGGTGCAGTGGAGTCTCGACTTACGAATGGCTCCACTTACGTACTTTTCAACGTATGTACTTCTCTGGTCACAAAGTTTCACTTTAACTTGCGGCCGGAGAATCGCCCTACAGACCAGAAGGGGGAGGCGGGGAAAGTGCCAAATTCAAATTTGGTGCTTTCCCCATCTCCCCCTTCCAGTCCGTAGGCCATAGGTCATGCCTCCAGATGCCTTCCAGGGCTTCTCTGCCGACATGGGAAGCCTCTTGTAGGTGCCCCCCCCACCGCCGCCGCCGCCGATAGTGCCTCTGAAGCACTATCGATGGCAGGGGGGCCTCCAAGAGGCCTCCCATGGTGGGGGGGAAGGCATCCGGAGGCCTCGGGCAGCGGCGATGACGGTGAACATTTGTCTGCTGTCAGTACCATAATAGTTGTTGTATTTGTGCAGTAAAAAACAACAACAGAGGTGAACACCCCAAATGTTTGGGGCAACTTCAGTTCATACATTTATAGTTCCATTGCTGTGAGAAACCTCTGATAAACCTTTGCTGCTGCCTAGATTGGCCATGAAATGGAGGATAATCTGGATATATGCAGGCAGGTGATTGAGTTTCATTTAGAACAAAGTTCTGTAATGTTTTGAAAACGGTGTCTGGGGGTGGGCTGTGGGTCTTCTGGTGATTGTGCTAATCCTTGCCCATGATTTGGCCTCCATCGGAAGCTGTGCCAGGCGGCTTCCCGGAGACAGTTGCTAAGAGCCTGGTCACTGATGGGAGGGGGACACGGTTTCTGCTACAGAGCTGAACGCTGCTGGGCAAGTAGACTAGGAGACGGCTGCTATCGGAGGGGCCATGCCAGTGAATGATGGCCGTGTTTGCTTTGCATTTATTGGCAGCCATGCTTTGGATGTTTGCTGTGTCTGAAGGAAGAGATGCCAGAGGAGAAATGCTTTGTAAAAAAAAAATATGTTTGGGCAGCTGCTATGCTTTCTCATAGTGTCTGGTTTTCTCTTTCTGCCTCTGGCTAGTCTTAATGGAGATGAAGAGATATTTGTTTAATTGAGGAATTGGATCAGCCCCTATAAACTCCTCTTGGCAACAAGCTGTCCTTAGCCTTGTGACTCCCTGTGAGCTATGCCAGACCTTGGCTACTAATCACCAGGCCCTCGGCAGAAGCCAACAGGCAGCCGCTGCGTCACCCCTCTCTTGGGCTTCCAGATTCCCAGTAGGACAGAGAGGGTTCTGCATGCCGTATGGGGAGAATACTTCCCCTTCAATCAAGGTATTTCTCAAATGTTCTCAAGTGCCTCTACAGCCTCTAAACTGACTGGGAAAATCAAGACCGGGCTGCATGAATCGTGGAAACAATACAAGTGCAGGAACAAGTAATACCTTTAATCGACCATTAAGAATATAAAACACTGCCCCCCCAATAACAGTGAGCTTTTGATGATAAATTGTCTTCAAGGCTGTGCATCAAGGTCCTGTGCACAATTCCAAACTTGCGGGCTGTTTTTAATGTCCCAAATTCACATGGCTGATGGTGTAGAGGTTTCAAGCTTTTCTTCAGCTAGCAGTTTGGAATTTATGGCCCATCTCTTAAAACAGAGGGACAGTTGGCCATCTGCCCCCCAGCCCTCTCCCCCCTTTCTGCCTTTTGAAAACTGAAAGGATTTATTTTTGGCTAGAAGAGGGAAGAGTGCTCAGGAGCATGGGCTGCCTGTAACAGATCACTGGGTTAAAGTGACAGGGTTAATATTGAGGGACATGTCTGTTCCGCATGTTTAATCTGTTTTCCTCCTACAGCAGGATTTTCACAGAGATGCCCGCCTCAGCAATAAGATATGCAACGTAGGAATGCCATGGTTTTCTTCCAGTGACCAATCACAAAACAAAGCACCTAAATACAAGATACTTGGTAGAGAAAAATCATACGCTATGATCCATATATATCTTTCACTACCTGAAAGATTACTTCTTCAGACCAACAAATAGCTTCAACTTGATTAAGTTAGACTCTCAGACACACAGGACACTCTATAAACTAACTCCACTTTTCAAGCTCCAGGTACTTCCTCTACAATGGAAAACATGACAGTATTCCATGAGTAGTTAATATTGAACAAGTTCATATTTTATTTTCAGTGTTAACATAAGATATATTTAGGCAATACATACTTGAACAGACTTTAGATTACAGTGTCTAAATGGATAGAGAAACAGACACAGACCCACAGTATTTGTGTATACATGCACACAAAGTTTGTTTGTTTGTTTGTTTGTTTGTTTGTTTGTTTATTTATTTATTTATCTATCTATCTATCTATCTATCTATCTATCTATCTATCTATCTATCTATCTATCTATCTATCTATCTATCTATCTATCTATCTATCTATCTATTACATTTTTAACCCGCCCTTCTAGACATATGCCTACTCAGTATATGTCTTTTCTGTTGTACAGCTCCTTTAAGAGGCTGCCTTTCAAAGATTTGCTTCCTCCTTATATGTCATGCTGATATGTGCATAATAAACATATAAGCGTATGCACTATTGCAGTTTCTTAAAGGGATCCCATAGTACTGTGTACTGCTTGCCCACTTAAATTAAAAATGGCTTTGGAAGGGGACAGCTGCCTCCAGGTTTTGCCACCCCACTCTGCTGCATGCTTGTGTATTCCAGGCCTGAGACTGGGCAACCTGGCTGGTTGTTTTGGACTCATAAATACATGTTGCTTCTCTCTCCCTCAGGTGGACCATGCAAAAGTGCTACATTACGTCGGGGCCGGGGTGGCATTCCCAACCAGCATGCTCTTCTTATTCCTTCAGTCAATTCTGACTTACCGCATGGCAAAATCAAGAAGTCATTACTGGACTGGCCACCTACGCAGCATCCTTGCAGCCCTGGCATTCATCACTCTTATCTTTAGTATCCTTCCGGCAGCAGTATGGGTTGGGTAAAATAAATAGGAATAAAGGCAAAAGGGAGCAATGGATAAAATGTAATTAAATTTAATTTTTCTAGGGAGTCTGGGGCAAGTAATTGAGGAGATGTCTGCCTGGGGCTCTTGCCAAAAGTAAATGTCATTGAATTTGTGAGATTGGTTTTTGAGAAATCATATATGCTATAGAGTGGATAATAGAAAAATAACATTGTTGCAGTATATAAAAGATTGTCGGGAAAGGACGAGGAGCAATGGATGGACTATACAGAATGTGAGAGATTTCACCTAAATATTATAGTGAATTTCATAATGAAGGTTACAGTTTGCCTTTCTCAGATATTTGAATGAACAAAGACTGAATAGGGTTTAAGGTAGGGTGGGCAAAGCATGACCTTCCAGGTGTTATTGAGCTGCAGTTCCTAACATTCTCACTACTTGCTATCCTGGCTAGACTAATTGGAAATGGAGTCCCACAACAACTGGAGAGCTGCACTTTACCCAGCCCTTCTTTTAGGCAGAGGGCATCTTATCCGAGGCAGAGATGCTTTTTTCCATTAGAAGATCTGCTAGAAGTTGTCTTTGCAAGCCTTGTTGCCTCTGAAATGACATGTAAGCAGCATTCTTTCCTTCTTTCTGGGGACCATTTTTGTTTTTATAAACTGCTGATGTTGGGGCTACAGTCTGACAAGGAGAGCTAAGAGGGTGGGGGGGCCTCTTCACATTGGCCTCTGGATCTGTTTCCTCTTTGAAACCTCCAGCTGCTTTTACCCTGCTCCCCAGGAGAGTTATTCCTACCTCAGTGTTT